CCCAAGACAATGGTATCTTGGTCTCAACATTAAAGGAACTCAGAAATAAAGGTTTTTTTTTCCTGAAATGCAATTTATTCTAATCCCATTACATATTATAAGTAGAAAAATCAGTTAACTTCCATTCTGTAAATTAATGGAAGGAAGACACAAATTAGAACAAGAACTAAAGACAGCACTCCTAAATGTAGCACTCTATTTACAGAGGGATGGCAATGCTCATCGAGTTTCAGCTCTAGGTTTTTGCACCGCTACAAGCTTGTGCGAGACGAACCTAGAAAGGAAAGGAAATTAATCAGTACTCGGGGAGACACTGTTACACCCCACAGCCACTGTTGGCTTCTGCCTGAAGCCGAGGGCCCTTTCAGTTTTGGTTCAGTTTTTCAAAACACTGGCAATAGCTCAAGAGGTGCACAGTGTATCCACAGTTTGTATTAAGCCAGATGTGAGGTAAAGCTACCGCCCCTCCTTCCCTTCCAGTTCATGCTGCTTCTTGACCACCAACATGAGCCAAAATACAAGACAAGGGGGGGAGGGGGGAAATCAGGAGTTTGTTACAGCTGAACAGTCCAGTGAGTAATGACAGAGTGAAACGTTGCCTTACAACTGCAGGTCATGACTGACAAAAATACCCAGACTCACCGATAGCTTCTTCACAATTCCTTGGGCCTCCGGATTCAGACGAAGAAGATTCTTCTTGGTCAAATCACTCGCTGTTAAACGAATGCTCTGTGAAAAAAAAAAAAAGAAAAATCACCCAAATGTTATTTTTTCTGTTTGGTCAGCTGTAGTAGCTGGAAGCAGAAAAAAGTTAAATTAAAAAAATAAAAGTAAATAAAATCCAAGCATAGCAGGAGACCACGTGCAGGCACAGAACTACATTCAGCTTGACCAGCAGCTCATCTCATACCTTCCTGGCAGGGCACCAACACATTACTGCCAGCAGAAGCTACTTTAGATGTTACTTAAATGCACAGCAAAACATCACTCTACATCCTGCTCGGAACAGCTGGAACAGCTCCCACTTCTGAGCAAAAGCTTTAAAGGTTCTTACGCTAGATCAGTCCCCTGATCAGCTGCAGTGGCACAACTAAAGAGACAAGAAGTGCGGATGAACTGGAACTGGCAAGGCCCCCGAGAAGGTACAAGCTATCCCTTCAGGCCAGATCTTACAGATTAAACTTCCCGATTTACCTCCCCTCCTCCGACAGGGACTGTAATGAAGATATCGTTGCTGTCAGCAAGGGGGCTGCCGTTGGCAGAGACGGTGTAGACACGTTCGTTTCCCGCAGGCGTGCGCAAACCCGGCGTCTTGAAAATTCTGAAACAAACAGTTGCAGGTAAGTAATCTCCCTGCAGTGGCTCAAAGCACTTTGATTACAAGCCTTTCGTTTCAGGTTCAAAGAGCCACTAAGGATTACCTTGCGGATAGATGACGCGCGTAAAGCAAATGGCAAGGCAGTCCCCTACAGAAGGGGAGGACAGAGAAACGTAACCGAACACAAACCTGGAATCAAATTTGGGTGTGATCATGGAGGTACCTCCCCGAGCACTGAGATCAAGAACTCTACCATTAGCTGGAGTGATAAAGTTGGTTTTGCTGGATCTGTTAGAGGGAAATAAACAAACCCCTGCTCATAAGAACACTTTTAACAAGTGTCCAAGCACTACCTTAAAGACTTGAATGCGGTTATCGCCACAGAACACCAGAGGTCCCCACTAATCCAAGGCAAACCCCAAAGCCAGGGGTAGCTGCGCATCACAGGAGTCACCCGTCTTCCATCTACTGTCGGATCGCTGACTGTTTCCTATAGCACGGCATAACCACCTCAAGCAGCCTCCTGACCCACACTCCGTTCCATTTAGGAGTTCAGTTAGTGCCAGACACCTGTTCTCCACCTCTGAAATCCAGTGGAAAACACACCCCTGGTTACCTTTTGTTCAGGCGCATCACTCTGGTTGAAGCGGCTCTTCTGCTCCTGGACACTGGTGGTTTTTTAGTGGATGCCTTCACCTGAAACACACATTGCTCTCCACATCAGTTACTTCCCTCTCGTGTGACAGCTGAGTCCACGATGAACAAATGCTTCCACACAAAATGCTGGCTCAATAGGCTCCTTTTTATGGCACAAGAGTCCAGACACAAACACCACACCAGCTTCTGAGACCTTCTCCTATTGCCATGAGGTTCAGGAAGCGACCCCTGCTTTGGAGTCCCCCTCAGAGCATCCTGGCCAGCTATGGTATCATGGGCAGCATCTCAGTAAGTAGTTTGTATCTTGGGAGGGAATAAAGTCATCACAAAGAGTAACTGTTTACCTTTCCAGTTCTATGATTAACGCTTTCAGCTTCCAGCTCTGGAGGACACTGGCTGTCGTGTTTTGCTTTCTTCGCCGCAGGAAGCAAAGGAGGGTCTGCTTCTTCTTCAATAGCTTCAACGT